CATGGAGGACAAGATACCAGGACAAGGCCTGAATGAAATCTGAATGAATCTCCACATCCAGAATTGTCTTCAAAGAACTATTAGCCTACTATGACTGAAAAATATCTCATTTATATGTATTTGAATTAAGTCAGACCTCAACTCCAAATTGACAATGAAATCATCATGAAAACAAAATAGCAAATAGTATAATCAAAAAACAGAAAATATACTGTATTAAACAAGTGAGCAAATCCAGTCAGCATAACAAAATATATACAACACTAGACAACTAAGTCCAGCACCCTAGGCCAGATCCTGAGAATAGAATCAAGTCCTCTAGAATTCATTAAGAGTGAGAGCCACCTAGAGATCAGGGAAAGCCTCATTCCCAGGACAGGCATTTAAGCAAAGAAGGCACATTTCCAGGTCCCAGTGGCATCACTTAATTGAAGGAACCTGGAGAGGTAGGCCAATACAGTAAGAAACAGGTAATCCCTCAAATAACCAATAACTATGCCAGATGGGGTTTTATAGGTCATACACAGCACCTTGAAATGGACCCAGAAGTAAATTTTCTGTTCAGTTCACTGTCCACACTGATTATGAACCAGTTGAGCTTTCAAGTGGTCTTCGAGGACACCGGCATGTAGAACTCATCTCTAGTCAGAGATGAGTGACTATGTGAAGGGCTTTCCAATCTAGGAAACAATACAACTGTACCAGATGAAGCAATGGAAAGGCCTTCCTGGCCACATTTGATATCTAATGATTGAGCAAGAGCTATAAGTCCACACTCCCAGATTGCATATGATTCTTAAATTGGGAAATGCTATCCTGCCATAAGTCATTTATATAGGCCATCTATAAGTGTAATCGGGGCTATCTCTGTACTGAGTCCCAGCCCAAAATCTAAATAAATGGGTTTAGATAATCTACTTCTAGGGTTTTTATCAAGAAGGAAATCCTAGAAAGATAAAGAATTGTAATCAGAATGGTGGCTATCCAACTAGAAAATGGTTTTGTTATAAAAAAAAACAATGTGAAATACAGCTACAGCAAAACAAAAATTAAAACTATATGGTGAAAATAGACATGATCTCATGCTTATGACTAAAAAATGCACATTTTGGGAACCAACAATCAGTACTCGATGAAAGATGAGGATCTGGAAATATTTTGTAAGGAAAAACAGTACTATCCTGCTATTGTGCAAGTAATCTCTAGAAGATGGATTACTGTACATACAACATATGCACATAGACCAGACATGCCCATATTCTTTCATTACACCATCCTATTCAAGAGTTACATTTTATTAGCATTTTAATATTTTTCTATTCTGGTTATTTTTCGCATGACCATATTCTATAATTATTTTATTGGGTTTTTTTTAGGTAACTAGTGATAAACCAGTAAAGTATATCACAACTGTGTATAAATCTTTTCATGAATAGATAGGTCATATCACCATTCTTCCACAAGTTTCCATGGCAATAAATGATGTAATAATATTGGAATTTAGATTTTTCTGAAGAAGAAAAAACACAAATAGAAAGAACTAGGAAATCTTTGAAATGTGTTCAGTTACCATGAAGACGTAACAAAGTATAATGACACAACGGAACATCATACAGCCATAATAAATACCCGTGGCCTTTCAAATAAAGATTTTAAGAAATAGAAGGGAATTCTGCCTAGCCTCAGTGAGTACAGAGGATGTGCAATCCTCACTCAAAGATTGCTGTGAATGTTTATATTGTTTGCTGGGATGTTCACATACATGTCCATTTCTTTACACTGATTAGAAAGCTGAATTTTACTCTTTCTTCCTGAAGCACTTTTCATTTGGAAGGGGACAAATATGAAACAATCCAGTTAAACAGATAATTATCTTGTTAGCCTAATTTGCTATTCCTTCTCTTTTTCAGCCATTTCTCAGCTTCAAAGAAAAAGTGCCCCTTTTGACTTAAGCACTAGAAAATGACTGATTAATCCAAACATTGTGTTGTACTGTTGAAAAATCTGAAAACAGAAATACAGAGACATTTTTCATTTTACTCAGACCATTCATATATTTCATAGCAGGGTCTATGACAATTTGCCATGGGCAACCTACCACGCCAACTCACCACAGCCAACTTGCCGCAGCCAACTCGCTGCGGGGCAAGAGTTACACTAATATCAAAGAAATTGTGGAATAGAATCTTTAAAGAAAGGATGCAAAAGGAGGAACAAAATGAAATGTAAATGACAAAAATTAAAACACTTTATTTATTTTAAATAAGTTTAATTGTTAAATTGTCATACGGCAAGTTGTCCTGCAGCGAGTTAGCCATGTCAAGTTGGCTGCAGCAAATTGTCCCATTCCGTTCGTAGCATGAGTGGTATTTTATTTTCCACATTCTACCCAACATTCTATCTAAATGGTACTCTGATCATGTTTAGTAGTACATTTAGCATTTTATTGGCACTCAAATTTTGAAAGGTTTTAGCAAGGTCTTGTCAGCCATCAGAGTGAACATTCACGTCTAAAACAAAAGAAAATCTTATAATCTTCATTCCAAGTTGGACATGGTTATCTAAACATGCCAACTTTACTTCATGGGAGTAATTGTTATATTAATATTTAAGAGCCCAAACTTTTTAGGACTCTCATCTAGAGTTTCAGATAAATACACAAAGTTAAAAGGGGTTTTTCCTTTATTCAAACATAACTTAAAGCAATTAACTAATTAGAAGGAAAATGCATATGCAAAAAACAATGGTAGTTTCCTTAAATTGTTACTTAAATGATAGTCAAACAGCAAATAATGATTTAAAAACTGGCTACTGTGGTTTAATGAATAAGGGACAGAATGGATTTAGCCTACTTAGAGATTCTCCATATCTTTTTCTGAGAAGGTCTTATGGACACTACTGTCTATTACCTCTTCAAGAGCAGAAATAGGGAAATGAAGAGATTACTTGGCAAGCCAGTCTGCAACATGTAAAATTGCTCAGTATCATTATTTACCTAGTATTTTTTTTAAAGTATCTTATTAATTCCAATAGAGACAGAACATCATGGATAAAATCTATGTGATTGCTAAAAGTCACCAATGACTTTATGGCATAATCATAATAAGACCATGTGTGATGATACATCACTTGCTATAGTATAGCTTTTACAAAATCTAATATGAAATCAGTCTGACATTCACTATACAATTGTTTGGGCCCTGCCCACTAATGAAGTAATATTATGTAGAATATATATGCGTGTATACGTGTATTAGAACTGAAGGCATTCTGGCTCTAAAGAAGTCACATTACTTTCTACTACTTGCCAGAATAATTATCAATTTGGCATGTGCTTATTGAATATTGTTGAAAAAATAATTGCTACAAAATATTCTGTTCCAAAGGGGAACTGCAGTATAAAGTATCTGAAATGCGTAATTTCAAACCATTAGGGGTGACATTTTTGCTATAATGGATTATACCCAAACAAAATGATAGCTTTCTCGATATAAAAGTGCCTTGCTTCTTTCAATTCTGTACTGAAAATATTCTATTCTAGGAATATATTTACTTAGAGAAAATCACATACAGTTTAGTTTAAGAACAGCAGTTCTTCGCTATTATTGTATTATAATTTCCTTTTGAACAGTTTATGTTGCCTGAATAACCAAGAGGACAAAGGCTGTGCTTTCTTCAAATTTAATACTAAATTAATATATTATTCCCACATTTTCAGTAGTCACCTTTCTCCATATATACAAGCTGCCACAGTTGTTATATATTGCATTTTTGCTTTCCATTTGTCTACTCTCCCTAGTCCTCTTGATAATTGATAAAGAGAAATAATCTCTCCAGTGTTTTTAGTACACTTTCATAAGGACTTTGCTAATAACTTGCAAAATCATCGTAATTTCAATTTTTTTTTCTTGCAAATATTAAATGTACTTTTTTTGTATGTTCTTTTATAAAACCTACCTCTGTGCAGGTCTTTGGTCTGCGTTTAGTATGCTCAACCAAGTAAAATTGTAAAAGAACTAGTCTTACTTCAACAAGATGTGAGATGCCTTTGGAAAGAAACCTTTCATAGACACATAACGTCCCGATAGGGTTCAGACTCATGCTAAGTAACTAAATCCCCTTTATGTAAACAGAGAAGTTAAGCACCAATATTTCTCTTTTTCTTTTTTCTAAGATACCTTAGCACATGGGTATCAAACTCGCAGCGCCACGTTGCCGTTACGTGATGTTTCACAATGTTTTTTTCCCTTTGCAGAGTTGGGGTGGACATGGCCTGCGCGTGATGCATCTGGCCCGCAGGCCACCAGTTTTGACACCCCTGCTGTTTAGCTCAATAGGAATTATATAGCTAAAACCCTCTTCTGACACACTGACACAAACATTCCCTCCCCTCATGGCTATTTGGTTGAGGGAGGACTGATTTTGCTTTTAAGGATATTTATACTTTGTTCTGTTGCATTGTTATATTCCTGTAGTGTAGATACTGAAATGGAACTTAACGGAATACTGAATTACATACTAGCCCTAGATGTTATTTTGATGTTATTATCCCCTTTGATGTTATTGTGGTTCTATTACAACTAAAGGCAAAAAGTTACCTCAGTCAGGATTAGCTGTATGTATATGATGACTTTTAAAATCACAACTGCTCTCATATGAATGTTGCTTTATTTGTGCTAGCACCAAAACATGAGATGCCTCACGGGCATGTTGGGAAGCCAAGCCCTGCAATTCATGGCTCATCGCTTTCTATGAACGGGATGTCACTGTATTTGCTTTCATTGATTGCCCATTGCTTCACAGCTTGATCCAGAATCTCAAGGGAAAGACGGTGAGCAAAGTCCAGCACTGCAGTGTTTGTTGAAGATGGCATTCCAGAGTTTGCCTGAATAAGGGAAGATTTTTCAAGGTTACATCCATTATCGTATTTGCCAACTTCCCTGCTTCCATCATCTAGAATAGTGTGCGGGAAGGGGCTTTTGGATTTTATACATCCCATGGTACGACTGCTATTCAATTTAGCTGCACAGTCAGCCTTGATGTATTGTCCTTTAGAAGGGTACAGAATGCCACTTTCTTGCAAGCAGAGATGAGAGTATGCACTTCTCCCAATATCTGTGGGTAAAAAATTAACATCGCAGGGTTTAGAATATTACTTCTTCCATTGATTTTTGTGTTCAGTACATTTAAAAGAAGATTTATTTTAAAAGAAAAATCCAGGAGGAAGGAAATCTGGGGAGCTTCTTTTTGTTTTGGCCCTAAATGGAACTGGTTGTTCCATAAACTCAAGTTCTAGATTCCCAGTTCTGAGTTCTTAGCATCTTATCTACCATATCCTCAAAAATCGTACCTTCCTCCCATTTATTGTGAACTGGGCTTGAAATAATAACCTTACCAATAGCCCCATCTTACAGTTCGAATTGGTTTTGGATGTTCGATATTTAATTATCAAAAAAAGTAGCTGCAGCATACTAGAAGAGCAATCCCTCATTCAAGATTACATTGGAGAAAACTCAGTAAATCAAATTGAGTTATTACATTTTCAAAGTCATGGTAAGATAAAGAAGAGAAATCAAGAATGTGAGCTTCCAGACACTACTGGAATTCTAGATTATTTAAAGATAACTCAGCAAACATTGGATATTATGTTAAATTAACATTATAGCCATTACTTCCTATACTTTATTATTAACTACTTCTTAAGAAAAGTCAATAGGCTGTTGGCAAAATATTACAGCAGCTATAAAGATAGGAAGAAAAAAAATTATAGATGCATGAAAGTACATTCCAATTCACGTTAGTAATTTTTGAATACCACATCCTTCTATTATAAAACCTCAGGAAAGCATTTGTGACCTCTTCTGAAGAACTGCCTCTCAGTCTACTGCTTTGCCGTATCCCTCCACTCAATTATTTAAAAAGCTTACATTGACCCACGTGATCTTTTACGAGATGAAGCAGCAGATGTGAATTTCCTTGAATACTGGCAGACTTGCAGCAGAAATTCATTGCATTATAGGAGTAGACCTTGAATCTAACAATAGTCTACTCAACACTAGAAAATATATCGAAAGCAGAATGGTTTGTGTTAAATTGCTCATGAAGACACAATGTTGTTTAAAACACTATGATGCTATGTGGAGCACATGGAAACCTGTTCTGCATATTTCAAAGTGTTAACATACACACACGTATTATAAACCCATACTCAACTGGGCCCTAAGCAGCAATTAGTACTGATACTCACTGCAATATTGTTCAGATTCATTAAGATAACTTTATACTATATATAGAAATGTGGTATTATTCTAGCTCATAAAACCCTTATGACCATGTAGCACTTAGACCAATCACAGGTGAAGAGGTGAAAAGCCCCTCCCCCATCAAGCAGCTACCACTGATAACATAGATTTTAAACTGAGAAGTAACAGCCTGAGTTTTCTGGGCAGGACTGCATAGCTTTTCTTGTGTATTCAAAATTAAAATTTCAAAATTAGCTTACCCTTGTTACCCCAATAAATAGATGCTTCTTCTAAACCTGGGGTGTCCAACTTGCGTTGTCACGGCATCGTCATGTGACATATCGTGACTTTTTTCCCCGTTCGCTAAACCAGGCGTGGGCGTGGCCAGCACGTGACACATCTGGCCTGCAGGCCACGAGTTTGACAGCCCTGTTCTAAACATTAACAATTTAAGGTTGCAAGAATGACCGAATTTTCTAGATTAAATAGCTGCATCAAATTGAATTGTGGCTGTCTAGAATGTTGTACAACCTATAAACCACCCCAAAATGATACAGTGTCAACTCATCTTTAAATCTATATAAAGATGTAAGTACACTGCTCAAAAAAATAAAGGGAACACTTAAACAACACAATGTAACTCCAAGTCAATCACACTTCTGTGAAATCAAACTGTCCACTTAGGTAGCAACACTGATTGACAATTTCACATGCTGTTGTGCAAATGGAATAGACAACAGGTGGAAAGCATAGGCAGTTAGCAAGACATCCCCAATAAAGGAGTGGTTCTGCAGGTGATGACCACAGACCACTTCTCAGTTCCTGTGCTTTCTGGCTGATGGTTTGATCACTTTTGAATGCTGGCAGTGCTTTCACTCTAGTGGTAGCATGAGACGGAGTCTACAACACACACAAGTGGCTCAGGTAGTGCAGCTCATCCAGGATGGCACATCAATGCAAGCTGTGGCAAGAAGGATTGCTGTGTCTGTCAGCGTAGTGTCCAGAGCATGGAGGTGCTACCAGTAGCCAGGCCAGTCCATCAGGAGACGTGGAGGAGGCCGTAGGAGGGCAACAACCCAGCATCAGGACCACTACATCCGCCTTTGTGCAAGGAGGGACAGGAGGAACACTGCCAGAACCCTGCCAGAACCCTGCAAAATGACCTCCAACGGGCCACAAATGTGCACGTGGCTGCTCAAACGGTCAGAAACAAACTCCATCAGGGTGGTATGAGGGCCCGACGTCCCCAGGTGGGGGTTGTGCTTACAGCCCAACACCGTGCAGGATGTTTGGCATGTGCCAGAGGACACCAAGATTGGCAAATTCGCCACTGGTGCCCTGTGCTCTTCACAGATGAAAGCAGGTTCACACTGAGCACATGTGACAGATGTGACAGGGTCTGGAGATGCCGTGGAGAACATTGTTGCCTGCAACATCCTCCAGCATGACCGGTTTGGCAGTGGGTCAGTAATGGTGTGGGGTGGCATTTCTTTAGGGGGCTGCACAGCCCTCCATGTGCTCGCCAGAGGTAGCCTGACTGCCATTAGGTACCGAGATGAGATCCTCAGACCCCTTGTGAGACCATATGCTGGTGCGGTTGGCCCTGGGTTCCTCCTAATGCAAGACAATGCTAGACCTCATGTGGCTGGAGTGTGTCAGCAGTTCCTGCAAGATGAAGGCATTGATGCTATGGACTGGCCTGCCTGTTCCCCAGACCTGAGCACATCTGGGACATCATGTCTCACTCCATCCAGCAACGCCACATTGCACCACAGACTGTCCAGGAGTTGGGGGATGCTTTAGTCCAGATGTGGGAGGAGATCCCTCAGGAGACCATCCGCCACCTCATCAGGAGCATGCCCAGGGGTGGTAGGGAGGTCATACAGGCACGTGGAGGCCACACACACTGTTGAGCCTTATTTTGACTTGTTTTAAGGACGTTACATCAAAGTTGGATCAGCCTGTAGTGTTTTTTTCCACTTTAATTTTGAGTGTAACTCCAAATCCAGACCTCCATGGGTTGCTAAATTTGATTTCCATTGATAATTTTTGTGTGATTTTATTGTCAGCACATTCAACTATGTAATGAACAAAGTATTTAATAAGAATATTTCATTCATTCAGATCTAGGATGTCTTATTTTTGTGTTCCCTTTATTTTTTTTTGAGCAGTATATTAAGGTTCAGTTTAAAGAGAGCAGAAAGGAATAGTTTAGCCTCTAGAGTACTTTCAGAAACTTGATGAAACTTGAATTATGCAATAATTCATTATTATTTCATTCAATTTATAAAGCCAGTGACCACATGGAATTGACTTGAGTGATATGCAAAGATTAAAACAAAACAAAGTCAGCAAACCAAATAACAAGTGTCTGATTCCAATTACAGAAAAGAACATTACAAATCAATCAACAGAGCTTGCTCAATTTCCTGGCACAAATACCTGGAGGAATAGCCAGCTCTTTAATATTACTAATGGCTTTGAACTAGACTTAATATATTTTTTCAAAAATATGTTTAACATTGAAGTCTTGTCAGCCACAAGCCCTCCATCTTTTAACGTATTAGTTAATACTTACCTCCCAAAAATATTATAATTTGTTAATCCCTACTTCTCCAGAAGATCTAAAATGATCCATTACAACCTTCTCCAGCCTAGTGCCTCTCAAATTCATTTTGAGTCCAAATCTGAGAATTTGCACCTGGGGAAAGGCTAGTGGCGAGGCTAACTAACACTAAACTTATATGTATTATTAGCTTTGATTATTGCATATGTCACTAAGCATTATCATTGGATGCTCATTTAATGTTCTAGGCAGACAAGTAGGAAGTTGAAAGCAACAGGTAAACTATTAGTAAATAAATATATTTAAATTCTAAAGGACATTCTGGCTTCAGATTTCACTAGATGAAATTACTTTTACTATTCTCAACTATGATATCCTTCTAAATCAGGGGTCCCCAACCCCCGGTCCCTGGACCGGCACTGGACCACAGCACGCCAGAACTCAGGCTATGCAAACAAGTGAAGCCCCATCTGCAGGCTGCACGCGAAACTGTGCCCCCTCCAGTCCATGGAAAAACCTCTCCCCACAGACCTGGTCCCTGGTGCCCAAAAGTTTGGAGGCTGCTGTTCTAAATCATCTGCCAGAACTGGATTTGGAAGGAACTGTTCTGCAATGATTTTCATCTTTGTTGTCAGGCCTGGTCCAGAAGGTGGAGCAAAGGATTACTTTTCAAAACCTATATACTGTCTACTGGTGTTCCTTAGGGCTCTACCTTGTTTCTCATGGTGCTCAATATCCACAGAGAGCTTTTTGGACCATACTACTGGGAAAACACAACTGGTGATCTGGAAAAGGGGGTTATCAATATGCTGAGGAGAGTTATTTCTTCTGCAACTTATTATCTACTTTCAAGCAATGAGTTTGATAATGAGCTCAATGAGGGAGATGAGACTGAAATTAAATTAAAAGAAAATAGAGGTGCTGTTCGCAGATATGCACTACTCTTGGGAGGGGAGCTTCAGATTCTTCTAGATAGGGCTTATCTTGTACTGAAGGGGTAGGGTTACAGTCTAGAACCATGATGGCGAACCTATGGCACGCATGCCACAGGTGGCACGCAGTGCCTCTCTATGGGCATGTGAGCCGTCGCCCTGGTTCAGCTCCACTGTGCATGTGCACAGGAAATACATTAAGTAAATAAATCAAGATGAAATATCTGTGCCTTCTAGATGGTGCTGGATTTCCAACTCCCATTTAGTCAGCATAGTTAGCAATAAAGCTCCCAAGAAGATGGGAACTAGAACCTTAAACCTTTTAAGAAGTTGTGTTCTTTTCCTAGATTTGCATCAAAGACAAGGAAAAGGCAGATTGCATTTAGGGAGGACTGTTCTGTTCCACCTGTATCCACAGATGAAACTTCAAGTTATATAGTTCAAATACTTTACGCAAACAAAACCGGAGTCAGAAGATTGAATTGCTCTGTTATCACAGTCCTTTGGCAATCCTCCTAGAATCTGTCCGGCAATTCTGTAAAGTTCGTAACTCACAACGCAGTAAATCAGACGCAAGTCTTTCCAAGGCAAGATTCACTTTGTTTTCCAGCAAATATTTCAAAGTCATGCGCACCCTTATATCCTCTAAGAAAGGGCGTGTTAGTCTCATTAATTAATCCTTTGCTGGACGTCTCTTTTCTAATTGAGATTGACGTCTCAATCTTCTCCTAGTTCTGGCATCCAGCCAGCATCCGGCAGTTTCATCACAGCTGGAATCCTCTGATACACTTTCCTGATTAACAGTTAACACCTGAGGTGCAATCAGGGAGGGAGTTCCAGAAGAGGAAGATGTCTCTGAAACTTCTAATAAATCAGGTTCATCTCTCAGATTCAACTCCTCCTCTTCCCCCAGACTCCTCTCAAGGTCGCTCAGCAATGCAGGCTCAAATCTCAGTGCCAGATCGTCTTCCTCGCTCAAACCCACATCTGCTGATTGATTAGGTTCAAGTCTTGGAGTCACAACAGAGGACAATAGGTGCTACAAATGCAACTACAATTGAAACATTTTTCCTTTCAAAATCAGATGCTTTATGGGCAGCCAACCCACTTTATACTCAGTATACTCTATTCCAAGAGCTTTACTATTTGGAATCTCTCTCTAAATCTTTACTGAATAAACACACATTCAGAATTCTGTAATTAACACCGTATTTTTTCATGTAATCAGGGTCTTACTCGAGAGAAAACACACACACACACACACACTTCTTAGACAACTATTTTCTTTCAGTGTAACTCACTAAAATCTTTTGATGATTTTCACAGTCATTTTGAGGAGCCAATGCATTATAATGGCTAATTGTATCTTTTCAAAATACCTGCTATCCAACATTGTTTGCAATGCTGGCTATGGAAGCTAATATACAACTTCTAAACAAACTTTGGTACAAATAAAGTTGTTCCTATGCTGCAGGAAAAATACTATTGAGCCATGAGGGTACATGGCACAGATGACAGTTACTGCAAATAGCTTGACATGTCTACGTTTCCCTAAATCATTTTGATTGATTTTGATTACGAGAGAAGTTATTTAAGCATTACATGCACAGTAAAAACATACATTATGCCTATCACATGGTAGCTTTTAGCACTTTTAGAGTTGGCAGGGGAATAGTAAATAGTAATCAATGTAATGATGTCAGAGTTCATTTTTATTATAAAAAATAATTGATAGGCAGGGCTTATTTATTTAGGATATGGCATATCATACACGGACTAGCAATATTTATTAACATTTACTTAGATTAGTAAATTGGCAGGGTGAAATAGAATTAGAGAAACCATATACGCCTTATTTCTGGCATTAATTTATGAACACTGCATGTTTAATTAGCTCAACAGGTCAAATAAAATAGTATCCTATCTTTTCTTAATACTTCAAAAATGTACTTCTAATTTTAATTGTCCCATTTAACACATTACAATTTTCCATTGATAGGGTATTTGTAATCTGTCTTTCACATAACTTGCAAATGCATAACCAACCAACTCCTTTGCCCCTCCCTACCATCCCTACATCAATCTCGTTATTTTACGCATCTGATGAAGTGAGCTACAGTTCATGAATACCTTTAAATAAAAATTGATTAATCAGAAAAGGTGTTACCAGATATCTGATTTTTTTGTCACAGAAAATAAGTCTCCACACCCCCCCCCAATATTTCAAATGATGAACTATTTCTTATATCCCAGCTTTAAAAGAATTATCTCTTTGCAATTAATCATTAAAAAACCCCTCCAAAACTAGAAGTGTGTTTCAATATTCATTTGTACCAACTCTGTATTCTGTATTGTAAAATAATTAATAGGAATTCCTCCTCTTTTACAATGTATTATTATATAAAGGTATTTAAGAACACATTGATATTCTTAATAGTTATGTTTCTGGTTAATTTTAGACCATAGTTAACTTGGATAACTAGTTTATATAAACTAAGTTTGGTTTAAAATCTACAATAATTAATGAGATTTTAATTTTGTATCCTGGAAACAAAATGGAAAGTTACAGAACAACCCATGAACTGAATCTTTAAACTTTCTTTTCTTACATACAAAGTGAACAGAGGAGCATGTAAAATAAAGTCTTTTTCAAATAAAGCTCAATTTTGATGATTTCATGGATATGTCCACACAATTGTATTGACAATAGGACAGAAGTGACTTCCTACTTGTTATTCCCTTTTTTTTTCAGAATGTTTTTCTAACTTTAGACTAGTTTAGAGTTCTGGAATGTCATGGTGGTACCTCCAAATAATAGCCATATCTAATCCTATTTAGCTTTTCAAGTCAGTTAAGGTCAATTATGGCTTGTCACCTAGCTGGGTCATGATTACACTAAGGGCTTCTAAGACTTTGAGAAAACCTGGTGTAGAAACTTCATGTTAGTTCTCTTACTTCTCGCAACAGCCAATCTCAGCACAAACTTTTACTCCACTATTTTACCCGTCCATTTAAATCAAATGGATAATAAATTAGAGTATGTAGGAAATCCATAATAACTTCAGATTATATTCTAAACACATAATAATTTAAATCTTTACTATCTTAAATGAAACCTAAAAAATCACATGATTATTTACAACACGGGTGAGTCACATGACATATTGTGACTTTTTTGCTTTTGCGGAGCTGGGGTGGGTGTGGCCTATGCATGACGCATCCAGCCCGTGGACTGCCAGTTTGACATCCCTGAGTTTCAATATTCAACCACACTTTGGTCTAGGATCTTTCATTGTATGATTTCAGAACTGGCCTCATTCCCAGCCTCAGGTTCTATCTATTACAATCCACGAATTAAGCTAATGTATGAAAAATAAAACTTAATTGTCAGATATTTGCTCCACATTTTGAGCAAAACTGTATCATACATTGTTCATTCTATACAAGAACCATGTGATTAGAATTCAGTATGCTAATAAAACATCCAGAAAAGCTGAATACTTAAACATTCTGCTCAAGCTGTGTTGTGCATCTTTCCAGTACAGATTTTACCTATTGCTTACTACAGTACTACCATAACTCAAACATACTCAAGCCTAATTGGCTAGCTAGGTCTGTAACTTTCCTTTCATTATGATTTATAACAAACAAACAAAACCTTGCATATGCAAGCATATTTTGTCTTAGTGACAAAAGTAGATGTGCCAGATTCTCCACTGTAAATGTAACCACAACGATCTCTATAAGGGTTTATGAAGGCAACTTACCAATTAGTATCTTGTTTTGAATATATTTTTCCTAATGATCCACAGAATATGAGGCGCAACAAGTTTAGATTCCTGTGTAGCAAGAGAGAATTTGTTCTTGTTAAATAATAATAGCTTCAAATGAATTACAATTCCTCTCACCTCTTTGCCCCCAACTGGATTCCTACAATCCAATCCAATCCAAGTTTGTACAGAAATAAATCCCAGCAAGTTCAATGGAATTTACATTTTGGTAAGCATGTTTTAGGCTACTGGCCTCAATTTACCAAGAATTCTTAACAGAAAAATATGGGTGCAATGAGGTGGAGCACTTTTTTGGAGTGCTCTGCTTATTTGTAAATCCAGTTAAAATCTGAGTGCTCCTGAATGTTTTAACAATTCCAAAGAGCACAAAACGGGAAATTCTACCACACAAACACACCTTAGAGCATGTAGTATTGAGATGAATGTGCTTGAGGAAGCATGTGTAAGGCTTTCCTTTTACTAGCTTTTCATGTGACAAACTACTTTAGATTCTGCTTGTTTGAACAGCTACAGTGGCACAACTAGATAACAGCTTTTTAAAATATGTCCAACCTTTCTTCACAGTCTTTGAAATGCATTCCTTTTGCAATGTGACCTTGGGTCAAAAGATACTTCTATATTTTTTATGGTAAGGGTAAAGAACAAAGGTCTTTAGAATAACTGACATTATTTACTGTTTTAGACACATGAAAAATGAAATATAATTCCAGTATAACAAAAAAAAAAACAGTTTTCTATAGTCAAACTTACCCAGCACACTGAAAATTATATTTCAAACATTATGCAATAATTGTTCTAAAGTAGAAATTGCTTATAGAATAGAATAGAATGACAGCATTGGAAGGGATCTTGGAAGTCTTCTAGTCTAACCCCCTCCTCAGGCAGGAAATCCTATACCATTTCAGACAATGTAAGTTATTATATAAGTCATGTATATTGTCATGCCCTTGTTAGAGTGGGACTCTGAAGGAGAGGAGGAACAGCCCACAGGGAGTGGAGGTGTGGCCTCAGAGGTTGGGGAGGAGGCTGGGGAAGGGAAGAGGCCAGCTGGGCAGTCAAAGGAAGAACCAGGCCCATCCCCTATTCATCCTAGGACACGTAGGGAGGAATGGAGAAGGAAACAACTTGGCTTATGAAAGAAAAAGGGGCCATGATCCCCCTCATTGGTTGCAGCTGGGGAGAATAGTACACTGCTCAAAAAATAAAGGGAACACAAAAATAAGACATCCTAGATCTGAATGAATGAAATATTCTTATTAAATACTTTGTTCATTACATAGTTGAATGTGCTGACAACAAAATCACACAAAAATTATCAATGGAAATCAAGTTTAGCAATCCATGGGGATCTGGATTTGGAGTTACACTCAAAATTAAAGTGGAAAAAAAACACTACAGGCTGATCCAACTTTGATGTAATGTCCTTAAAACAAGTCAAAATGAGGCTCAGTAGTGTGTGTGGCCTCCGTGTGCCTGTATGACCTCCCTACAACGCCTGGGCATGCTCCTGATGAGGTGGCGGATGGTCTCCTGAAGGCTCTCCTCCCACACCTGGACTAAAGCATCCCAACTCCTGGACAGTCTGTGGTGCAACGTGTGTTGGTGGATGGAGCGAGACATGATGTCCCAGACGTGCTCAATAGGATTCAGGGCTGGGGAACAGGCGAACCAGTCCATAGCATCAATGCTTTCGTCTTGCAGGAACTGCTGACACACTCCAGCCACATGAGGTCTAGCATTGTCTTGCATTAGGAGGAACCCAGGGCCAACCGCACCAGCATATGGTCTCACAAGGGGTCTGAGGATCTCATCTCGGTACCTAATGGCAGCCAGGCTACCTCTGGCAAGCACATGGAGGGCTGTGCGGCCCCCTAAAGAAATGCCACCCCACACCATTACTGACCCACTGCCAAATCGATCATGCTGGAGGATGTTGCAGGCAGCAGAATGTTCTCCATGGCGTCTCCAGACCCTGTTACGTCTGTCACATGTGCTCAGTGTGAACCTGCTTTCATCTGTGAAGAGCACAGGGCGCCAGTGGCGAATTTGCCAATCTTGGTGTTCTCTGGCAAATGCCAAATGTCCTGCACGGTGTTGGGCTGTAAGTACAACCCCCAACCGTGGACGTCGGGCCGTCACACCCATCATCCCTGCCCCACCACATTTCCTATTTTTGATATCGGCTTCCTTCTAGGCTTCCAACAAACTTCTCAGCATGTATTATTTTCAATCATTGTCCTCTGTCATAAATATGAACAGAAATAGTTGCCCAGCAGCTGATCAGTTTTAATTCACTGCTCCAATTCTGCAGCACCTGGCTAGCTTCAAAATCATGGTATAATGGCCTGCCACTTTTCGTTCTGGAGATATATCTGACCTATCATTTTCTCCCAATGTTTCTTTCTTTTTTTGACATTATTTTAACTTGGAAAATGCCCAAATACTACAGTATATGGAAGAGAAAGTAAGCTATCCTTGAGAGGCCCACAGTGATTTCAGAAGTCAGGCCTACTGTTTCCTGCTGTTAAATGGGGTAACAGTATAAGGGTATAAGGGGGTAACAGAAGCCACAATTTCTAAACCTATCCCACACCATTTTTTAATTGAATTTCATTCTTGGAGCTAAATGGAATGAACTATGTATTTAGGGGAAGATGACTACTACTACTTGAATATACAGTAGTACTCATTGGCACTTGTTTAATCTAGATAATACCTGTTAAATGGAGATTCCCCCCCTCCCAACCATTTGTGATATAGTGATAGGAAATATCAGCAAAACGAGGAAAGAAATTTACCACTTTGCCTGTAAGGAGCTGCACACTTGAAACACAAGACAACATTGAAGAGTGATTTCACACAGATGCAAAATAGACAGGAGGGAGAATAGCAGTTGGGGAAGTATATTTCATGCTGGGTATTGTTTTATTTGTACTCATACTTGTTCAGTTAGCGCTTTTAACTCAATAGTTGGGAAAGGGCCTGAAAGCCTTTGCTTAAATACAGTACAGAAATGCAATTCCATGGAAAAAGGCCAAAGCAAATTTGAATATTATTAAAGTATACTTCTTTCTGACAAGTTATTGTGTCACAGAGTGTAATAGCACTCCTATATTTCCACTTTCACTGACAGGGCAAAGTTTAATAAGAGTGGCCTTGGGCTGTGTTGCATAAATGTTCCTTTATTGGCAGAAGAAGATTTCATTGCTTTTTTCCCTTTGGTTAGATCTATTTAAAATATCACAACAGTTGCTCAAATTCTCCTATAATTCATCCAATTACCAGAGCTTATATTTACTTTTGTTGAATGTAAACTCAGTGCTAGGCTCACATCTCAGTTCTTTTCAAAGTTACTACAAGTATTAAGGATTCAAAAGTATATTTTAGACCAACTACCCAGACAAGTAGCATATGGTCACAAAACAATACTGTGTTACTTCTGCTTCATTCATATATGCCCATGCAATAAAACAGCCTCTATCTTAGTGGGCTGCCAAAAAGGATAGTACAGTCCTAGGTTGCATCAACAGAGGGATAGCATCAAGATCAAGAGAAGTGATAGTATCGCTTTATACTGCACTAGTGAAGCCACGCTTGGAATAACTATATCCAATTCTGGTCACCAAAATACAAAAAAGATGCTGGGGCCCTAAAGAGAGTGCAGGAAAAAAACAATAAAGATAAGGTGTCCAGAGGCTAAATCATACAGTTAAGGGAACTAGGTATGTCTAGTCTAACAAAGAGGAAGTTTAAGGGTGGCATGATAGCCGTCCTCCTGTATTTGAGGGGCTGAAAAGAGAAGAGAGGTTTGACTTATTTTCCAAAGCACCTGACTATAGGACAAGAAGCAATGAGTGGAAACATCAAAGAAAATTCCAACCTGGAATTAAGGAGAAATCTCTTGACAGTGAGAACAATTAATCAGTGGAACAGCTTGCCTTCTGGATTTGTGGGTGCTCTATCTCTGGAAATTTCAAGAAAAGATTGGGCAACCATTTGTTGAGAATAGTATAAGGTCTCCTGTTTTAAGTAGAGTTGGATATCCTATCCTACCCTACCCTACCCTACATTCTATTCTCTGGAAGCTCTATCTACTTACAGGGAAAACCAGTGAAAATTTGTGAATGGGCCAACTGGGATCTCAAGACATCACATAATCTTTGGTCCCTTTTCTCCTAAAAGCATATCTGGGATGAAAATCAGATGATTTAATTTGTAGAATGTCTAACTGTGAGAATAAACTTTGGCTTGGCTTGGGCAATGATTAATATAATACTTTATACATACATGCCTGCTTAAAGGTCACTGAGATAATGCAAGGAAATTAAAAGCAAACACCAGAAACAATTAAGCAGCTCAGACAACTGTAAACAAGTCTGTACTATATCTAATTATTGTAATCCACAATGTAATTATGCTTACTATGTACTAAAATCTCAATAAAAGGAAGCACTGGAATTTTGCTCTGGGCTCCCATCCCGAGAACACACGCTCGTGCCTCATTCTTTCCATGGGAGACCACCACATCTAACCATTTCCCCAACAAAGCTCAGGGATCTGCCTTGAACCATCTGTTATGCAAGATTGGTAGAAGATTTGGTTACTTCTCACTGTTCCATTTCAGACTATTCCATTGCAGTCATTTTTGCAGTCTGTGCAGTTGCCAGAGTTAGCATTTTAGAGTAATCCTAGTAACTTTGCGTACAATTTTATATATTAAAAAAAATTCTTAAACTTTATTTCATTTTACCAATCAATTGAATATATGCCTATCCTTTTATACTCTATAAAGTCTGAGGAATACAGTAATCAATAACAGTTGCTTGCATTTTGAGTAGAAATGCTTGCATCAATTTATGAACTCCAATTTGGACCAATGTTTCCTTCCGTAGACAAGCTTGTCTCTAATCTATACAACCTATCTGTTTGAACTGTATTATTGTGTAATAATTTTAGTAACTACTATATCCTAGAGTGCTTAGATTGAAGCAACAGATAACGCAATTAAATAAACACATAATGACTAACAGCCACTAATAGGCCAACTCATCAAATCCACTTTTATTGTAAAGTCACTTATAAGACAATTGCATTGATGTATCCTTGAAATCAGCAGGAGTCGAGGATAACTGAAAAGGAAATTTTACCTTTCAAGCTATGGTCATATGAACTTTATAAAATTTTGTAATATATAACAAAGCACCCTTTTATGTCCCGAATTTCCTGCCATCTTTCCTGGATAAGTCCATATTCTTTTGACTCTACAGGTGTTCTTCACGAAGAAAACACTGAATTTGAGAGCCTTTTTTGAAGGCTGAATTTGGTAACACTTTTTTTTGTCAGCTGGTTGACCAGAAATGATTTCAAATACATCAGTATCACAGATCTGCACAGAGCATGAATGGGGAATTAATTTTCCCAAAGGGAAAATTATGAGAAACTGGGATTGTTGTGGAGGGCTGCCACCACAGTCCCGCAACCCCCTGCCCTATCCTCTGCCACCACCCTACCCCACACCCCACCTCGGGCTGACAGGAACAGCCAAAGGGCCAGATGAGGCCTGCAGACCATAACATGCCTAGGTCTGGCATAGAGGCATTACAGTACTGTCAGTTTCATTTTTCATCACTCTCATAATTCCTAAAATATAATTTGCTGTTTTCCTAGCAACCGCACAATGACCATTTTCAGAGGCTGATGGCGGATATAAACAAAAATCAAGATAGCCGCTATCAAGGATATATATATTCAACTCTTTTGGTGCTATCGAGTGATCATTGTTTTTCTGCAGCTCAGAAGAGTTATTGCTATTGAGATATTGAAATCAAGATTTGTATTCACTATGCAAATATTTGAAATATTGTTTTAATTTTAGTAATTTAAATAAGTAATGGTTTCCTCAGACTGCAAAATATTCCTTGTAGGTCTATGAATGCAAATTACATTAAGAAACAAACTGATTAACAAGCATGATCATAGCACATTAGATAGATATACCATTTGGCTTTCAGTACACTGTGCAAGTCAAGATTGTCATTGGCTCTGAAATGGACAATTTCTTAGTTTTCTTCACAAAGTTTTCAGAACTGTTTTGCCATTGCCTTCTTCCTGGGGCTGAGAGAGAATGACTGGTCACCAGTATGTTTTTATGCCTAAGGCAGGACTTGAACTCAATCTCTCTCAGTATTTAGCCACTATATATCACTATTCCATGTTGGCTCTTTTCACTATAACAATTGACTTTATTATAAACTTCATAATAGAATATGTTCTTACCATTTACTTATGACAAGCAAGGGAAAGGTATCTTTCCCTTTTGTTGTCTTTTGAACTATTTCTAAGTCCGTCTTCTAAGAGAAAGTTACTTGTAAAACCAGTGCCTACCTAGATGGCACAAATTGAGCAATGGAGCAAAATCATACTTTAAAAAAAGTTGTTACTATCCACAAGCCTGCCTTTTAGCCGTGTTTACCTTGCAGTTTAGCCCTTATCTTCTAAATTACGGGCAGGAAGACGGGCAATTCTCCAGAAGTAGATAAAAGCCAGCTTAAATCAATTTAAACCAAGCAAGCCTTTCCCCTCTACAATACTGTGTAGTTTCCTCCAAGATGGATGTAAAAAGCAAATGCTAACCTTTTGCACCCCGCCACAATTCCTGGTCCACTTGTACGGATTTTTATTTTGCAAATTCTATCTGCTAATAAACTACATCACAGTCGGGGGGGGGGGGCGGGGTGGACACAAGGAAGTCTTCAGCGATCTCTGTGAGCCAGTTTAAGCCCACCTGTCAAGATCACATCATTGCCCCCAGAGCAGAGGTCTGCGAGTTGCACCACTACTAAGTCCCCCGGGTCAAGATTTAAGCCTAAGGGGACCAAGGCGTGCAGCCTTTTACGAACAAGGGGTTTTACACCTAGTAGACAAGGGAAGGGACTCGCCAGCCGGCCTGAGCGGTTCCTCTTCAGTAAGTACACAGCGACACCACTCATCCAGCCCTTCTCTCCACCCCTGCTGACGACTCTCTCCCAAGCCCACCTTTTGGCAACGGATGGTTTGCAAATCGCTTCAACCCCACTTACCCGCCCCGCCTTAGTTTTGTCGGCTTCAGAGAAGCTAACCGGAGTAAGTAGGTGGCTGTGCCTTTCGAACTACTTAGTGGGGGAGGGGGGAAAAGAACGAGGTGGAATAGATATTAAGCGCTAACTATGGGTGGAGCTGGGGCCACGCCGGGAAAGCAAACAGCTTTCCAGCCACTTTGAACGTGAAGGGGACAGCTCGGCAGAAAAACAAACGCGAGCCGTCCCCGACCACGCCACAAATTGCTCTTTACCCCCTTGTGGCCCAAGAACGTCACATCGCCCTCCCGCCCAACTTCCCCTTTCTCTCCGGTTTCACTCAGGTTGCACACAGAGCAATAGCCTCCTTGGGCGGGCACGGCGCAGCCTTCTGCCATCAAAGGGCCCCAGGCAGCAGCCCCTCCCGCAGTGACTGTTTAACGAATAATAATAATAAATAAGGACGAATTGTCCTTCTGCCTGGGCTACTCACTCTTCTCGAGGCTGTTGCTGCGGCTCCAACCCCAGCTCGCTTGGAAACATCAAAGGGACGCATCTTTCACAGAACAGAGTGGGCCCAAAATCGGGATCGCTTAAAAACGCCTGAGTCCGCCGACCTGTCCGCCCAGGAAATTGAGGCTGCCGGTTGTTTATAGAAAATCCCAACCAATTCACCCGATCCTCCGTGCGCTTAACCTGCACAATTAACCATTCAATCAATCTGCAAATCCAACCGCGCGTATTAATTCTGCAGCGACACCCGGAGGAGAGTGAGCCTTACTAGCCTCTAAAGGACGGGTTTTTGTTTTTTAAAGATTTTCCAATTTTATCCCCGGCCACGACAGATTGGTAAAAGAAACGCAAATAAAATTGCAGATGGGTTATCTGTTCCTTCTTCGAAACTTGCATTTTTGGAAATCTCCTGTGCCTGTGGAATTCAAAGACCGGGGCAGCTTTTCCTTTGTAGTTTGCTACGAAATTTCGGTGTTCGAATTTATCGGGTTTAATTTTGAACACATCTGCTAGCTTGGGAACCTGAATGTATTTGCGTTGAAAGAGTTAGGTAGAGCTCCAAATTAAGCAGATTTTCTCAGAAAACATGGCATGTTTCTGAGTTTTAAGGGAGAAAGCACCCCAAAGCTTTCTGCCTGAAAGATTAACTTTTCATCTTCCCAACCTTTTGTAAGAGGATTTATCTAAATATAAAGAATGACAAGCACAGATTTAGGCTACTGTATTAAGGCACTGCAAAATGCAAGGTACTATTAGAGATGCAAAATGGTTTGTAAGCCTGAAAGCAAAGAAATATTAGATGTCTGTAGCAAGACAAAAGAAAACCATTGGAGGAATTTAATAGAACAACTGATATGCAACAGAAGGATTATCAATGGAAAACAAAAGAAAACTGGTACAAGCTGTTTTTCTACTGGTATATTACTGTAGGAAACCTCCCCCCCCCAGATTAAAATATTCTTTATTTTTCATATTAAAAAGAGACAAGATAGAATATCCTAAAGGAGATGTGGAAAGGGAACTTCACGAAGACAGTAGTGTCACAAAAAACAGGAAAAGCCCAAGGGGAACATCAGGTCAGCCAGAAAACAAACTTACATAGGAAAAGGAATCAAATATAAAGTATTAAAGAATCCCTATAGACAAAAGCCTAAGTAATTAAGAAAACTAGACAAATAGGAAAAGGAAACAAAAGATAATTTAGAAAACCCTTACAAACACAGGACATACCAAATAAGCAAAACAAACAGACAAAAGACACAAAATATAAATTACAAAAGGGACAGACAGGAGATTGCCACAGAACAAATGTGAAAAACTATCTTAAAGCTAAAAGAGATTACAGAAAACCAATAATACAATCTGGCCACCCCGCGGAGTTTGCCTTCCACACTCCACAGAGTTTGCCCTCCGGCGGGAATAAAGACAAACTCAAACAGGATTTGAAACATTAGAAACAAATACAAACAGTCACACAAAATCAACTTACAAAGGGAGAAAAGGGTATAAAAAACCAGGGACTTACCATAAGAAGCTAGCTAGCCCAGGAACGCAGACTTCTCGCTGTTCTCCGCCTTCCTGAAAAATAAAAAGATCCAGCTTTCAAGCAGTTGTCCCTATCCTTGCGCCAGAGCTCTCCCAGCGGGAAAATCGAATCCTCGAAAGAAAGGCATTTTGACACCTTTCAACAGAGAAATGGAGAAAAATCTTAAGGCACAAAGCAACCCCAGTCTTCCTGCTATAGGAAAACAGCGTCAAACAGAAGCATGAAAAGACCAGTCTTTAGGAGATTTTGTATCCATTCAGAAAGATTGAGCTACTCTATTCATAAGCAAAGACCAAACAGAGATTCCAAATAAGCAATACAATTTGGTAAGCCAAAGTTGATAATATTAGCTCAGACAAACACCTAGGATTTGCATTTTCCCTTTTGTCTGTAGAGCCAGCCATGACCCCATAGGAATCTGGCAACAGCTATTAGAATATTAAAGGACATGTTCTTGCACAGGAACAGAAATCTCAATCACGAGGCCCCACAGAATATATAAAAGCCCACCTATCTGAACCCCATTTTGTCAGCCACCCCAGAAACATGCTGCTGTCACTGAAGTTTCTGGCATCCAAATAAACAGACCTTTCCTACAGCCAGCCACCATTTTATTTCCAACGTCTTTATCCCGGCTTGGAACTGGACCGGATTTTTCTTCCAAAGTTGAAGATTATTAAAATGGAAAATACATATTAAGAAAATAGGTACGTAAAATTGGATATGTGAAAAACAAGATGTAATGATTTACTATATCTGGTGACAATGTCGTAAAGTTCAATTATTCTGGAGGGTGATCTCTTGTAAGATGAAACAAGTCCCAAATATTGATATTTTTTTTACCAGTTATTTTTCTGTTATGTATGATTAAATCTTACCTACCTACAGAATATATTGAATTAGCTTTGCATTTGATAATGCTACCAGGTTATTTTACGTGTTTATTGAAAACCACATTTAATTCTTTCCTTAAAAGAATGGCAGTTTAAACTATGGGAGTATTCCACAATATTCAAAATGTTACTTATGAAAAAGCAAATCCAATGTTATCTTTAATTTAACTTGTAAATAGTTTATGGAGTAAAATTCTGTACATAGCTTGCTGCCACATTTGAAGCCTGGTCTTTTTAAAATAAAGGAATTAAACTTTTATTATTTTTATTACATTTAGCTAATCTAAAATTCAGTTTCAATTATGTGCCACCATATCAATGTAAAACATTACTGGCTCCAAAAATAGTTCACAAGGATGAAATTTTGACTTTATAATTAAATTAAATAAAACAGTACTAAAGTACAGATAATCTTCAGCTTGCCTTCATTTGTTCCACAACTGTTTTAAAATTGCAACAGCATTGAACAAATGGTGTGACTAATGCTCAAGAGTTGCAGCAAGCCATGTGCAAGCGTGGTCACTGTCATGCCCTTGTCAGAGTCTGAATCTGAGGAGGAAGATGGCTCCGTTGGTTGTGGAAGAGGCTGGGGAAGGGCAAAGTCCGGCTGAGCAGAGCTGGGAAAAGATAGAACAAGGGAGAGGGAATTCAGAGGAAGACCCAGGCCCACCCCTTCTTCATCCTAGGGCACACAAGGAGGAACAGAGAAGAGAGCAACGTGGGTTGCATGGCTTACAGGGGAGGAAAGGGCCCTGATTCCCTTCATTAGCCACACCTGGGAATGAACCTGTACATTGACTACCATGACCTGTACATTGACTACCATGCTGACTGTATCAAAAGTAAGCCACGCAACCCAATACTCAGCTTCTACCCTCAACCACAACCCTACCTCAACCGATCCACCATCACCCAAGACTAGGCACGCACGCCCCCAACTACCTCAATTCCAACTACTGCCGGCCTTAAATGCAAACTACTCAATGCAAGAAGCCTTGTGAATAAAATACCTGAATTTCTCATCCTCCTAAATATGGCTAACTTCGACATTATATTTGTCTGTGAAACATGGCTCAATGCATCTCTCCCCGACTCCATTACCACAGTAAGAGACTATCATGTTTACCGATCAGATCGTGAAAATCGTCGAGGAGGTGGTGTTGCTATCTTCTATAAAAAATCCTTACATCTAAAAAATATCCAAGTTACCCAGGAGCTTGCTCTTCCTGAGACCATCATCTGTGAACTATCCTTAAATATCACAATTCGATTCTTACTATGTTACAGAGCACCTGATTATGACATCGAACATGTAAACAAGCTAAATACATTACTAACATGGGCTGCATCCTGCCCATACCCTTTTATCTTTCTTGGTGATTTCAATCTACCTCATATTGACTGGACCCTAAATGATTGTACAACTGAAATCATACACACAACCTTCTACAATACTATTACAAATCTGGGACTGGAACAACTAGTAACCAACAACACTAGACTAAACAACTGCCTCGATCTCATCTTCTGCAATAGTTTGAATTTAATTTACGGAATACAAACTAAAGAACCCTTTTCCAGTAGTGATCACAATATGATTGACTTTTGTCTCAACATACGTCCACACAAAAATCACCACAATGATGTAATCCCCAATTGTAACTTCAAAAAAGGCAACTATGATCTTATAGACAACGATCTCTCATCCCTGGATTGGCAATCTCTATTCACTGGATGCAATACTGTTGAAGACCATTACAACATATTTTTACTTGAAATCAAAAGAGTCATCAAACTATATGTACCAACAACAACTCCCAAAACAAAACAAAAAAGCAGATTACCCATATCAATAAGGAAACTTCAATCCAAAAAGAGATCACTCTGGAGGAAAAACAAATCTGGTCACGTTGCCAATTTCAAAAACCGATACAAAAATTTATGCCACCAGATAAAGACCGAATGCACCAATTATCACATTAAAGAAGAGGAAAACCTTCTAAGCACCAATTCCACCCGTGCTTTTTACAATTTTGTAAACAACAAACTAAAAGACTCAAGGTCCATCCCTCCCTTGATAGGACCTGATGGTAAAGACTGCAACGATGACACCATTAAAGCCAACATCTTTAACACATTCTTCGGCTCAGTATTTGTAAACAGCAATGGATCATGCCCAGTATTTCCTAGCCGTACCACAGATAACAACAATGATCTAATACATATCGATTTCACAGAAGACAATGTCGAAAAATCACTACGCAATCTAAAACCATCTCTATCTATTGGACCGGATGGAATATGTGCCTACTTCTTAAGAAAGCTATCCACTGCCATAGCCAAACCTCTAAGCATAATCTTTGAAAAATCTTTCAGGACCAGCTCCTTGCCTAACCTATGGTCACAAGCCACAGTCATCCCCATCTTCAAAAAGGGAGTCCCAAGCCTAGTTGAAAATTACAGGCCAATCTCCTTATACTGCATCACCTGTAAAGTCATGGAATCAATTATTAACCAATCCATCATCCTCCACTTAGAGACAAATAACCTACTCTCCAATAAACAATTTGGTTTCAGAAAAAAACTATCCTGTAATCTACAACTCTTACACTGCAAAAACATATGGACGACACAACTCGACCAGGGCAAAGCAATAGACGCAATCTACATAGACTTCTGTAAAGCCTTTGATTCAGTGGTACACGACAAACTACTCCTAAAAATAAAATCCTATGGTATCTCTGGACAACT